GAACAAATGAACTAAAAAAGCATATTATTGAAATACTAGTTGATAATGATTTGTTGCCAGAGGAAGTATTAGAGGAATATTCTAGATAAGTTAGAGATTCAGCTAAAACTGAAAGAAATCCATCTTAAACAAGCTCATATTGAAGCTAAGGAAGAACAAGCTTGTGTTGAAGCTGAAAGAGAAAAATAAACGTCTCAAAGCCAAAAAAGCTTGCATTGAAGTTGAAAGAAATGGAAGTTAGACTCAACTCCAATTGACCAAGGCAAAATGACAACTTTGAACTTAATCGATATGTTAAAGTACCACCATTCAATGAAAATGAAGTTGATAAATATTTTCAACATTTTGAGAAGGTTGCTCAAACCATGGAATGGCCCACTGAAAAATGGTCATTATTATTACAAAGTGATTTAATTGGTAAAGCACAAGAAGGTTATGCTGCTCTGTCTTTAAAAGATTGTACAAATTATGATAATGTTAAAGCAGCTATTCTCAAAGCATGTGAGTTAGTACCGGAGGCTTATCACCAAAAGTTTCAAGGTTATCGTAAGCAAGATAACCAAACTCATATGGAATTTGCCCATGAAAAAAAGAGGTTTATTTTGATTGATGGTGTAATTCTATACATATTGGCAACAGTTTGGACAAATTAAGACAATTATGTCTAACTGAGGAATTTAAATGTTGTGCATGTGACAATCTCAAAACTTACTTGGATGAAAAGAAAGTTTAAACACTACAGGAAACAGCTGCTCTTTCCTATGATTACACTTTAACACATAAAGCCACTTTTCATAAAAAGAAATTCTTGCCATCTCAGCAAAACCTGTATCTATTCAATCCACTAAAGTTGAGGATTCTTCTAAAAAATCCAGCTCCTCTAGTTTGAAATCTTCTGACAGTCATGATAAAACTTCATCAAAATCATCAAGGCCTGTCTGCCATTTTTTGTAAAAAACTTGGTCATGTTATGTCTAATTGTTGGTGCTTGAAAAAGAAAAGGAGGCAACACCCATTGTGTTTGTGTCTACATATGATGTAGTTTCACCAGATCACCCGATGTTGTTGATTTGGCCACTGATGTAAAGGCTGATGTAGTCAGGGAGGAATTTAGATCTTTTACGTCTGTTGGTTGTGTCTTTGACAAATGACACTGCCAATCCCATACCCAATCGTATTCTATGTGACACTGGGGCGACTCAGTCATTGTTGTTAGAAGGTATATTGCCTTTGGATTCGAGTTCTGCCACTGGTGTGTCTATCATTGATCAGGGTATTGAGGGTGGCTTTGTTTATGTTCCTCTTCATAACATTCATTTGTCATCAAACCTAGTTCCGGGACCAGTTGTGGTTGGAGTAAGACCTACTCTGCCAATTAAGGGTGTATCATGATTGTTGGGAAACAATTTAGCTGGGGGAAAAGTTGTTGCCAAACCCAAAATGATTAGTGAGCCAATCACTGTTTCATCTAAGGATGATGATGATGTTGAGGAGAATCCTGATGTGTTTCCCTCGTGTGCTGTAACTCGAACTCAGGCTAAGAAATTAAGCCAAGAACAAATGATTGACGTGGATTCAGAGGATGATATTATAGATTGTTTCAGACATTTATTTAATTTCTAAATCTAAATTATCATTTAACTCAATTTCAGGCTATTCAAAATTATAATACGTTATGTAATAAATTGGAGACTCGTCCGGGATAAAGCAAATCCAACAGAGGTAAAAAGTTTAATATATTTCATGTGCTTTTTTGAATGAAGAAATTGTACATAATCAAAGTTGAATACTTTGAACATTTGCAATTTTAGACTGTTTTAATGGTCAGGTAAATTTGTTGTGTTACCTGTAGTTTAATTTTCCTTTATTGGGAGAGTGTGTATATGTGGTCTACACAGTATTTTTCTACTGGATGATTCATGTTAAGTCATCCTTCTGTCATTTGTGGTGTGTAGTTCATGGTAAGTCTGTAAAACACGATATTTTCCTACAGAATGTTCTTTGTATTCACAGAAGATAAAGAAAAAAAATTCATTAATAAATCCATGGAGGAGTTCAGTGTCGAACATGTTGTTTATACATACAATTTTGTATTCCTTTTTTTTCATAGAGGAAGAGTGTTTGAGAGTGTGTAGCTTTCAGCTACTTGGGATTTGCATTTTTCTGCAGAATCAGCCCAGTTAGCTTGATAGTGATATCAGTAGGTTTGTGTTTACATGTTTGAAACAGCTCTCAGTAGTTTCTATGTAAAGATAAGATATAAAATTATTAATGAAACATCAATAATAACTGTACACTGAACTTATTAAAGATTCCAGCATGCTTTTCTACTTTATTTATCAGAAACTGAAAATGAGTAGTCATCTGCTGGGAAATTTCTGATAATTTTTTTTTTGTTGAAGCTTTACCAGTTGATTATGTTCTAATCTGGGGAGCAGCATGGCTCTGTATTTTGGATAGTTGAAAGTCTGAGGCTGGCTCATGCCATGCGGTTGTATCCTTGAGCAAGACACTTTACTCCTACTTCTTCCAGTCTACCCAGCTGTATGATGGATACCAGCTGTTTGCTGGGGATGAACCTGCAATGAACTGGCATCCTATCCAAGGGGAATGGGTCACCATTCTCATCTGCTTGTTCCACTTGAAATCGGTGTTCAAAAGCACCAGCCCTATGTTCCTTGCAGAGGCACATCAAGAATTTAACTTTTATCTTACAATAGCCATTAAAGGTTGTTAAGTACCTGTTAGGGTTAATTAAATGACTTTTGGAGAAAATGATTTTTTCCCACATAGCCTTAATTTTTGTTTTGTATAATCTGATCTGAAATACACTCGTCTTGTAAAAAATTATATTTGTCAGGATGTATTCTGTAGTTTTATTCTGATAACATAATTTTTAATAACCAGTATTATGGTTAAAGGCAATGTTCTTTCATTTCAAGTGCTAAACCCACAAAATTTAGTGAATAGTAGATCCTGTGACTGTAAAAGAACAACAAAAAAATACAGAAGGGAAAAGATGAAAAATGCATTTAAAATCAGTAAATTTCTTCAAACATTACTCTCATTGAGATAAAAACTCTTTTAAGATTTAATATACATTTATTTTTGTAGGAGCTTCACTTTTTAATTATGCTCTAACTTTTATTAAAGGTCAGTTCAACTCTGAAGTTCATGAGAAGGCCTCAAAATTGCTAGGTTTCAAGGAACTTATTCCTCTTGAGCTATACCCCAGGTAAGGAATATTTTCCCATCACTTGTCAAACACTACAAAACATAGTGATAGTAATTAATAATGTTCATGTAATTTCTCGCATAAAAGAAACAAAAAATTTAACCTGTTCTTGAATTTGGCATGCATCTGTGTTAGTTGGACTTCAAACCAATATTAATAAATCAATAATAATGGAATCAGGAAAAAGAACCAGTCTACCAATTACCTTTGGAGCTGTTTGTAACCACTTAAAGGCAGCGTGGTCAGTTATAACTGTAAATTCTTCACAATCTAGGTATATCTTAAATTTTTCTATAGCCCAAACTATGGCTAGACATTCTAACTCTGTAGTAGTATAGTTTCTTTCTGCAGAGTTCAGTGTTCTACTGGCCTATGCTATGACACCTTTCTGACACAGAACTGCTCCTAATCTAACATTTGAAGCATCAGTATGCAAAAAAATAGTGTTTAGCTTTTCTTGGAAGTTGCAAGACAGGGGATTCACATAAAGCCTGCTTCTTGGGGGGGGGGTCCATTTCCACCTGCTACACGCCTTTTATAACTGATATAAAGGTTCAGCAATTGTAGTAAAGTTTGGAATGAACTGATTGTACAAGGAACACATACCCAAGAATGTACTTAAATTTTTGCAGTTGCTTGGAGTTGGGAAGTCTGTAACAGCTTTCGCTTTGTCATGATTTGTGTGTATTCCCTCAGAAGAGAGCTTAAATCCTAAATATGATACTTCTGATTGGCAAAATGTGCTTTTAGAAAATTTTACAGTAAGATTAGCTGTATGTAGGTTGTAGAAAACCAATTTGATATTATCTAACACCACTGGGTACAAAAATAATCAATGTTTCTTTAAATTCTCTTCAGTGTTCTAAAGCTATTTCTGATCCAAAAGCCTTCCACCATTCAAGTGTCCCTCCCCTCAGACAAGAAGCCACAGTTTCCACCCATTTATTCTCAGGTATTTGATACATATAAAAATGTGTTTCAAAACTTTTAAGAAACTCCAAGGCATTAAAATCCGACTTACCATTGGACTTCTCAATAGGCAGGGATGGTGGGTTGACTGTGGTGACATAAATTGATGAATTTTCCACAGGTCTGTAGGTAGAATAGATTCTCGAAGTTTGTGGTTGAGGGGGAGGGAGACTTAGCTTCTGTTGCTGGTAGATCAGTCACCATGTGTGTTAGCATTTCCACCTGTTCTGTCAGCACTGACACAGAATGCTTCAAGCTTGTCACATCAGACTCACTAGCTAACTTATATTTAATTGAATTTAAATTATTGCTGAATTAATCACTCAATACCAAATTGAGAACCAAAAAATATCCAAAGTCTCAATTTAATCTTTATGAAAAGGTCTCTGTTCGGGCACCAATGTAGTGGCGTGTTAATTTTAGACCGTTACAAACTTTCAGCCTATTCTAGTCTGGTTTTCACTGTTTGAAAGGAGGTTAAATAAAACATTTAAAAGTCACCATAACAATTCAGAATACAGCATTATATTAGTCATTTTCATTTAGTGTTACATAGAACTCCTATGTAGAAGAAAGTTAAGATCTGTTACAAGGTTTCATAATACAAGTTCTTTTTATTAGGCCTAAACCTGTGGTGTCAACTCCAGAATTTCCAGGAGGAGAAATATATGTGGATGTGCAACACTTAACAAACATCATCACAGAATACCAAATTTTAATGCATCATCCTAGGTATAGCAAATAAGAAATATTCATAAATTGGAAAATATTTTTTTGTTCAAAGATGTAAGTGAAAGTTCAGAAAATTAAAATCAAAAATTTCTTTTTGTATAATGTTTCTGTATTCAAAGGTAAATTTTTCACATTGTAACTTCTTTTATTTCAATTCTATTAAAAGTTCAATTGTTGTGAGAAGTTTAAATGGATATTTCTACTGTTCATTGAGCAGAAAAAATGTCGGCATTTTTGTTTTCATTCTAGCATAATTTAAGGTCATTAGTGAATCATTATAAAATAGATTTTTGTCATTCTACAGTGTTGAAGGGGCATTTACGGACTACCATGTGGCAAATAATCGAACAAACCCACTTCATATTGATCAGTTTTTACCAAAAGCTCGAGTGTAAGTACCCAGCAACATTTTCTTCTCAGTCAAAAAAAAGAAAAGAAAGAAAAACAACTTGATTTTTAACTTATGGTTTTTAAGTATTTTCTTTTTTCATAGATGTTAGTTGAAAAATCATTTGAAGTGAAAAATGATCTTTTACTTAATTAATGCCCGCCCCCCAGTGGCACAGAGGTATGTTTGTGGATTTACAATGCTCAAAACCAGGTTTCGATACCAGATGGCCCATTGTGTTACTTTGTGCTTAACTTTAAAAACACTTATGTACATTAGAGGGGATATAAAAGTTAGCCTGATGGAGTAGGCATATAAAACTTTAAGTGCAGGATATATCTGTAGAGTCACACAATAATTATTTGAACACAACCAGATTTGTTAACTTGTAAATATAATACCAAAGATGTTGGCATAACACTTGCACCATTCAATGTTTTGGCTTCACATTTTTTGCTACTGATCTTACTGATAAGTTGACCTCTATATTTAGCATATCAAGATAAACTATAGATATTTTTCATAAAATACAAATACTATTTTATTGTATTACAAGAATGCTTATAAGTTCCTTTTAAGCTATTTACAATTTGAATTGTTTCTTTATTATAAGACATTTCCAACCATCTTTAGCTAAAAGCTGTTAATATTCTAACAGAAGTTGCATTGATTTGTCATAATTTCAGTTCTTAGGAAAAAAAACAAACAATAATGTATCATTGTTAAAGAGTGACTGAGAATAGTTTTAGAGAAAATTTCTTTTTGTATTATGCTATTGTTTATTTCAACTTTTAGGTGACAGTAAGACTATAAATTTACTTTTATTTATCCTATAAAGTTGAATTTTTAGAAAAGGATTTAAAGTTTTTTCTAGTCTTAGGGAAATTATCCTATAAAAATAAAATAATGCATATTCATGTTATTTTCTCGTAATAGCCTGTTAGTAAACATGGAAGCACTTAATATACGTCTTAATGACCATCTTCATCACATCTATGATGCGAAAACCGTGGAAGAGTGGCTTGCTGTCAATGTTCTTCCCTGTCTCCAGAAACTGAGACATTTAGTACGCGACGCAGAACAACAAAATGTCTTAAATGCTTGCATTTCCACGAGGTAGCCATGATGGATAAATAATACAAGACTTTATTATGGGCATCGATGATTCCATTCTATCCTATGGTATATATTTTTATATTTTTTATGCCCATGATAGCTGTACAAAGCTTTAAAGTAAAACTGTGTTGGGAACATATTTGAAGTAAGTAGTTGTTTTAGATAACAGTTATCAATGTTAGGTTCTTCAGGAAACAATGTACAGTATATGATAAAATAATGACAAATCTCTCTATTGCAGTAGATTTTATTTGTGACAACTACAATGATCATTCTCTGCATTTCTATATATTAAAAGGGTTGTTTAGAAGTTTGGCCTTCACAACTCCTATTATCTCAATTTTACAGTCTTACAGCATCCAGTAAAATTATGTTTGGATTCATAGACCAGGTAATCATGTATTGTAAATTTTTCTCGAAATAAAGTCACTATTTGGAGCTGAGTGCTTTGTTTTTTTATACATATACTAACACTTGAGTATTTACTGTAAAGTTTTGTAAAAAAATAATATTCCTATGTTATGGTTAAAATGTAAAAATTTGGCAAAATAAACAGGCTTAACATTTGTGACACATTTGAGTTTTTAATTTTTTTCCTAAACCTTTTCTTGTATGACTTCAGCCATATGATTTAAGGCACTACCTGCTTTAAACCAGTTTATCTGGGTCTCATTGAATGTGTGCAGAAGGTTAAAGCTCTCTTTGGAACCATCTTCATGCTTGATCTCACATTTCACAGGCTAAAAGTAAGTAACAGGTGTATGAGAATGGACAATCATTTTATTACGTAAAACGAGAACAAATAATGTTCCTTTAACCCTGTCAGTGCAGGTGATATTATACTGGCAAACTCTTAACAGTTACCATGGGACCTTTTAAATATAAATGATTTTTTTTTTATCCACTTATGATTTATAATCCAAAAGAACCACTATATAACATAACTATTTACCATGACATTATGAGTGGCCTCTTAACTATAGACTTGAAAACAATTTTTTCATACATTATTGCACTAGGTTTTTGTCAAAAGATAACATCTCTAATCTTCTTTAAAAAAAGTCCACTTTGTTACAGTCTCTACCTTCAGCAGAGGGACTCTGTACAGAGCTGCTGTTCAGGGCTCATATCAAGTTACAACAGTGAACGTTTTTTCATTCAATAAATGAACTGCCAAAGTAATTACGTCAATGAAATAAACACTGGGGGTAACCCATTACCTTGCCTATGGCATAGAAATAATACATTATGTAAAGATAAAAGCCTTGGGATGTTGTATATTAAATTTTAAAACTCTACAATTCATGTAAGGAAGCTCAACAGAAAATAATCTCAGATGTCAGACTATATATATTTATGATTTTACTGGCTTGGAAAACTTGCATACCAAACAGGTGAATTTTACAGTTTTTAACATCACCAATGAGTAACACACCTGTATAAAGTTTACAGATTTCTAGTTTTATTTTTTAAACTAATAAATTGTATCTGCCCAGTGACGAAATTTAATTTCCACCATCCTAATAAAATTGTAACAGAGGGGGGATCAGACAATCTTTCCTGCAATATTGGCCTGGTGAAAACACAAGATAACCAGGCTGAAAAGGGCCCATTATTTTTCAGATTTAATACAGTTAAAATGTAATTAGCTTTTCTAGAGCTCTAGATTTAAACAACAATCAAACTAAGTCTTTTAAGACTGATTTGCCACATTATAGTACTGAACTCTTGCTTATATTAGAACCTTTGCATATAGGTTACAGTAAATTTAACCCTATCTACTGTTGCACATTTTCTATAGATGATGTTAAGCCTAACTTAAAACTAAGATCTGTTTACTCTTACCTTGTTGGGAGCAAGATTTTTAAGGCCTAATAAAGACACCTTGTCATTTGGTCTTATCTTCTTGTAGTCTGCTGGGTTTTCAAAAGTGAGCGGAAGCAAACCTTGTTTCTTTAAGTTAGTTTCTACAAAAAGAAGTTTATTATACCAAAACGTATTTACTCTGAAGATAAAATCCTAGAATAGACACTACATCATAGGCATTGGAAAAGTGTAGGCAAAGTTTCCCAATATTATCTGCCTATTTCACATAATTCCACTCATTAAGAGATTTGATTTAGACAATTTGCATGGTGAGCTTGTTCTTAGAAGACTTCAAGCACATTGAAATATATAACAATTTTTAACATTTCTCTACCTGTTTTAATATCTCTCGAGAACAATTTCACATAAATTTTTTCTTTATTTTCTTTACATCTTAGGCCCAATTACCCTTTAAATTGTAAAAATGTTTTGGTGAATGTACTTGTGATAAGCTTGGTCCACTTACAATGCCTACATATGTTACAGATGCCTTGAAGTGTCTTTACCATAAAAATAACATCGTATAAACCTGAACGTAATTGTCAGAAACCTTTTGTAATGCTACGATTTTAGGTAGTACACATGATTTGATATTTTCAACCTGAATGGTCAGATTGGAGACCTCTGGTGTTCAGTATAGCTATCCCCAATTTTGAAATACTGACCAGGGAGAAGGCAGCCAGAATAATGGGAATGATTGTCACTCTTATAGTGTACCTATAGCTGAAAAGTGTGGCATGAACCTTTCAATCCACAGCTTGGCATACTACATATTATTACTTTGAACCAATAATACTTCTCAACATCTAAGCTGTAAAATGGTTATTACATGTACTTCTCACTATGTATAATAATCGAAATTACAAACCAAGCATATTATATATACAGTTGAGTTGAAAAACAAAAAAAGTCATGTTCTATTTATTCTAAGTTTATTCTTAAATGTACCTAAAGAAATAACAATTGCACTTAAGACAATTTTTGAATGGCATTGGTAAAACTCTTATAAAAAGAATCCCAACAGGCACACATTTTTTTATTATTTACTTTGTATCTAGTGATGACTTATCAGTCAAGACCAACATACTCACTCAGTTTAAATGATAAATATGTGACAAAAACAGTCTTACCATGTATTCTGGCAAAACTCTTCACAATAATTGCTCTCCCACCAAGGTGACGAGGTTCTAAGGCAGCATGTTCACGAGAACTTCCTTCACCATAATTTTCATCTCCAATAATACACCACTTGACACCTCTTGACTGAAAGTTATAAGCCTTTTTATTAATGACCAATGGTCATTAGATTTACAAATGTACTTCTTTTTTACACTTTATTTTGAGTACAATAAATGCTACTGATGTATTCAGTTAGAAACATTTCTGTGATGAATAGCATAAAAATTTTTGAATTATATTTATATCTTTGTAGAGAGACATTGTTTTTCTATTGTTTCTTTTTTCTTCCAGACACTTTCCAATTGACTTTCATTTCTTGGCAGATTGACTTGAAACTTGGTAGGGTTATACCTTGGTCCAGACACCTTTTACATTTTTTTTTATTTAGGCCTTTTGTATATTTTGGGCTCCTGTGTAGTCATATTTACAGCAATCAAATCAAAAATTGGCACAAATATAAATTTTCATGTGCCCAACACACTGATGTAAAAAAATTGGAGTTGCTCATTTTGAATCTTTTTAGGGGGTAGAGCTCACAAGGAAGCATACTTTTGGTGAATTACTTGGCTGTAGTTTGACCAATTTACATGGTATTTGGTACAAAGGCATTTTTATACAGTTCTCACACACTGAAAAACAAAAATGGTGGACCTCCCAATTTTTAGTAATTATGGGGGTGTCAAAGTGCCACAAAAATCCAACTTTTAAGGTTTTTTGACAATTGCTTTGCTGTATTTCGGCTAATTTATGTGGGATTTAGTACAAAGATATTTTTTTTACTGATTCCCAAATGGAGATTTAGACAGTTTTGGAATTTCTGCCTTTTGCTCAATTTGTCAGCAAGGAAAGCACTATTTGGGGTTTTTGTTAACTATTCATTTGTATATCATCCAACTTGTATGGGATTTGGGACAAAGATACCTTCTTGCAGGTTCCAACTGGTGATATATATAATTTTCAATTTCTCTGGTGAAAAAATTGGCCATGTTGGGATTGTGTGGTGGACACAAATTGCATTTGCATGCAACTGTTGGCCTCTTTAATAATCATTTTGTATCACTCCTCTTAAAAAATATGTTCTAATTTTTCAGATAACTAATACTACTTATGGCTTTTTCCAAAAACAAAAAAAAGACAATAAATCTATTAATATTTTGTGTGCATTAACAGGAATGTTTACTTTTAATTACTTTTTATAGCTTGCTTAAACATTTTGTAAATCACAGGATATCCAAATACTGAAAAGTTTATATTTAAAAGTATACAGTGGAATCCACAAAGAATTCAAGGTTTCTATGTTGAATCCACATAAAAAAAAACTGTTAAACATAAAGTTTGTAAAATGTATTTCACAGATTTATAGTTTAAATGCCAGATAGTTACACAATTCTCCAAACATGTTTTATTAAACATTTACACACTCTACTACTGCTGAATTAAGAGCATAGGAATACGGAATAAAGAGAAAAATTAAAACCTGGTATAAAACAAACCTTACTTTGTACATTCTGGCAGTATCAGGAACAGTTGCATAATCTCCAGTTAAATGATTCTTAACCAAGTTAGCCTCATTCGTTTCTTCATTAATAGCTCTAAGAAAAACAATTTCAGGAAGAAAAATTACCATATACAGTTGATATTTAGGACATATCACATATTAGAGAAACAAATAACTGATTTATTGATATTTTAGGCTGTGTTGGGCTAATATTTCTAATGAAACTACCCCTACCTTTGAGATTATGACATGTCTTACATTATAGAAACAAAGAATTGATTCATTGCTATCTTAGGCAGTGTTGGGCTAATATTTCTAATGAAACTGCCCCTACTTTTGAGATGACATATTGGTCTATGTCTTCTGTACAGATGCTGATGTGTAGTCCCCACTCAAGAAGAAAAACTGGAGCAGTCCAGAACAAATTTAATCTTAAATTGCACTTTATTGTTATTTTCTAAATTCAGACTAACAACATGTAGAAATCTAGTATGGGAAACTCGTATGCTGTCACTCTAATCCTAAGACATGAAAAATCATACAAGTAATCAGTGTTTCATTTACCACTTTTGAAAAGTTTCAGAACCTAAGTTTGGTAAACTGTTGTACTTTTAAATAACTGAAATATTTAACACTGCTCTCATCACCTAATTCACTATTAGTAATAAATAACATTATAATAGATCTAAACCATTCACTGAGATAATAGGCTCCTAAACAGTTGAACTTCAAATGTAGTCATCATCCTTAACTTGTTTTAAAAAACTTATACTAGCTTTAAATGGTTGCAGTATGTTTTTAATCTTTTTTTCTGTTTTAGCAATTTCTTCCGAGCTGGAAGCCTTATACACATAAGACAAAACAAAACAATAACTACATATTCATTTTGATGCAGAATTATATAAATAAAAGCATCCATTATACATGAATTATGTTCCTTTTTTCACTAAATTTTAAAACTTTTATAACTTAGAAATATTTTGTTTATTATAGATTTATTAGCAAATAATTTTATGTAAAATCAATATAAAATATTTGTTCCTTTTAATCATCAAAGAACAAGATCTTGTATCTCTTTCTTGTGAATTTCTGAATTCTTATTTGGTTAGGTTAGGTAAGTGAACCTAAAATAGGCTAATTGAAATATCAATACCCCTGAACAGTAGTTAAAGCTGTAATAAATTTTTGCTTCAACTTCCCAGCTTCCTGTGTTATCAGCAATATGTATAATTTTGATATTCTAAACTTTTTGTGCAGCAATTGAAAAGTATCGGTAAGTGAAGACAATACAAAAAAATTAAATCTGAGAGCTGATATGTTCAGGACAAATAAACAACATTTTAAAAACAGAAAAATTAAGATGAAACCATCAGAAAAAAGTTTTGGTACTTATAAACATATAATACCACAAAAGTATAAAAAAAAAAACTAAAGCAAACCTATCATTTCAGAAGTCTAAGGTAATTGAGCTGCTTTTGTTAACCAATGGATTAAAACATGCCAGTATTAAGAAAGAATAAACTTAAGAACACAAAGTTTTTTTCCTTACCTGGAAATGTATTTCAGATAGATACTTCCATACCAGATAGCTATTTCCTTTTGAGTTTGTCCATTATGCCTAAGAGATTTGTATATCACCAGCTTGTGAAAACTCCTACTTAATTTCATGTGTGTCCATGTGAAGTTGCACTACTACATGATGATATATCATGCAGCAAAACCCTTCACCACTAGGAGCACAACAGATTTCCACGTGTAAATACACCCTCTGCATTCATGCATGAAAATTTTCATTCTTTAACAATGCAATAAAGAGAGGTGCACTGGAATAGTGGGGAGGATGGGTGGAAATGTGTACAGAGATGTGTATCTATCAGATAAGGAAAATGTTAAATTCAGAAAATAATACCTTCTTACACGGATAACTAGAATCCCAAGCTGAGATGGTGGAGGGACTGGTGAAAATATTACTTAGATAAGCTCCCTTCAGAAAACGTCTGAAGGAAGTTCATGGGGTGTGACACCTGATGACAGGGGCACATCTGTGGGAGACTGCATCTTATCTCATTCAGGGTATACTTTCTTCCTGTATATTTGCACACAAGCTGTCGGATGGCCAATAAATTAGTGAGGTTTGGACTCAGTCAGACCATACATTGTGTGCTCGCCTTCTCTACCATTAGACTTGATGGGTCAAAACCAGGTATGGGTGAAGGGCAGTCGTGTTAAATACTGTGTTCACCTCGTCATCCATCAGTCACTTCAGGCTTCATGCCAGCTGTAGGAGGAAGGCACTGTATTATAATATATCATTATGGATACTCATATAACCTCTACTCAACCATCAGTCACTTCGAGCCCCTTGTCTGCTGTGGGAATAGGACGTGCTAGTGATACATCATAGTTGTATAGGGATTGGTTCATCTACTCAACCAGACTCTGTTGACTCATGCCAACTGCAGGAGTTGGGAAAGGTATATATAAATGAGTATTAGTTATATGTATCCACAGTCCACTTGGAGATTGTGATGCACCTAATGTATACTTATGTGGGGTGAACTGTGCTACATCCCAGAAACACCCTGTCCCACTTCTCATCATAGAAGAACCTCTTTTTTTTAGCCCCAGCAGTTAGGTCCCAATCTGTGAGGATTCTACATGGTCCACTACCACAGTAGCTGGAAGCCAGTAAGTGGCAAGGGTTTCCTGTGCTCCACTCAAGGAAGAGAACAAATTTGCATAGGGTAGACCTGAAGAATGTGCCCAGATCTCTATTGGTCTTTCTTTCCAAAAAGGTCTTTCTTGCAATGGATGACCACAAAACCCAATTTTTAAAAGCCAGCAAGTGTAGATCAGAGAAGTGGGCAGATACACAACTCTGGTGCTGGATTTATCCATGATAGTCCGTGGAAAAAGTATGGTTTGGATCAGACAAGAAATGCAATACAGATATATTTAGATATACTGATAGGAAATCTCAAGTGGTATTGTGGAATACTTCATCTCACAGTGGGCACATGTAGAGCCAGGGCAGATGGTATGAGCTTTTTCTGTTATCCTGGCTTGATGTGAAATGTTTAGTAAGTATACCCTGGGAGGCAACTCAAGTATAAATCCAAACAGAGACAAGACAATCAGGAGATGCAGATAGTGGGTGACGAAGAGGTGTGGGGTAGTCCACATGCTAGCACAGAGAAAAGAAAAGGGTAAGAGATAAAATGAAAAGAGGAGACTTGAGACAACATACAATCATCTGTTTCTAAAAGGGCACATATGAGATGTATGAGCTGGTGGATCCAACCTATAACAGGAGAATGAGAGAGGCTCTGAAGGTAATAAAGGACAGTGAGAGGAACCACAAATGAAGGAAGAGAGTGACAATACACAGAACAACCTGGACAGGACACGAGTGTCTGTTTGAATTAGAAAGAACACCGAGAATGGAAACAGAAGGAGGGGATATGGTAGAAAAGGAGTGACCATTGTCCACTTACATGAAATACAAGAGAACAAGAAGGAAAGAAAGACCAGCCAAGATGCTGTAAGGCAGTAATGAGAAAACAGAAAAACAACAAGGACATAGATATGTGAACAATGGGGCAATCACAGGCAAGTAGGAAGAGGACTAATGTGTCTAAGAAAACAGAAACATCTGCTAGAGGTTTGATAGGGACCCAGGTAAGAGCATGGAAAACCACAGTGATGATCCAGTCAGGCAAGAAGTAGAAAGGGGAGGGGGTCAGTGAATAAGGAAAGAATGAAAGAGGGTATTAAATATCCTGAAAAAAGAAATTATCCCATGACATTGGGAAAGGTGGAAGAGATGAAAGAACAGTCCTGTGAAATAGAAGGAATTTGATAAGAATTGACAGTTATGAGGCACCAAAAGGACACTGCAAAGGTTGTCCCAAAACAGAGCAAGAACCTGAGGGAGGAGATGGAGAGGAGGACAGGCATAATGAAAAAGATTGGACTAGTCCTGACTGAGGGAATAGACAGCCATGGCTAAGAAATGAAGAACAGGAGACCAGAAGAGAGGAAGGTTAGAAATGAAAGGGGTGGCAAAGGCAGCAACAACAACAACAAAAAAAAAAAAAAAAAGAAGAAGAAGAGAAAGAGAGAGGTAGTAAGCTGAAAGCAGAACAATGAAACACTAGTAGGTGAAGAACCATTCTGTATATAGGATGCAGTTATGTGGAGAAGACAACCTGTGACAATGTGCAATGGCCCCAGAACATGACAGGTTATGAAACTCAAAATTTATGTCTGAATATTATCTTCTATGTATACATGTTAAGGAGTAATGCAAGAAGATTAAACATTATCTTCTATAAGTACGTGTTATGGAGTAAGTAACCACAAATAAACATTATTTACAATCTGTGACATGTTATTAAGTAAGTGATTATGTCTAAACCCTATTTTCTAATTGTATGTGATGGATTAAGTAACCAGATTTAATAATTATTGTCTATGTGGACATGTTAAGGAGTAATGAATTAAGATGAAACATTACGTACTATGTGTACATGTTAAGGAGTAAAGAACTATGACAAAACATTACCTTATATGTAAACATGAAGAGTAATGAACTAGATCTAAACATTATCTTTTATGAGTATATGTTAAGGACAAACTATGTTTAAACATCAACAAATATGTGTACATTGAAAGGAACGATGAACCATAACTAAACATTATATTTTAAGTGGTACATGATATGGAGTAATTAACTATGTCTAAATATTATCTTCAATATGAACATATTAAAGAATAACTAACTACATCTAAACATTATCTTTTATGTGTACATGTAAAGTAGTAACCAATTATGTTTAAATATTATCTCCAACAAGTTACATGTTAAGGAATAATAAACTATAATGAAACATCATCATCTAGGTGGATGTGTTAAGGAGTAAGTAACTATGACTAAGCATTTTATTCTACATGGTACATGTTAAGGAGTAATGAACTAGATCTAAGTGTTATATTGTATATGGACATGTTAAGGAGTAATAAACTATATTTAAACAGTAACTTCTACATGTTACCTGGTAAGGTAAAGAGGATGAGACATAAAATAGCTGGAGTGAAGTTGAACCTGAAGGAAATACCAGGCACCAAACTGGTAGGGAGAAGAAGAAAGGAAACCAATGGTAAAAGGTTTATGTAAGATGAGTGGGCCTCAATGTCAGGTCTGAAAAATGGCATAGAAAATGAATGAAAGGGATGACAGCAGAGGGTCTTGGCTACATAAGGAACCCACCACATGATGCAAGATGGCTGTCACATCTTACACAGATAAAGAAATTCAGTATAAATGGTGATAATTATTCTGTATCAGAACCTCATCACAAAATTATCAGAGAGAGAGTTCACACTAATGTGTGAAATCATATTGAGTACATTGAATTCAGATTGAAATTTTAAAGTCAAGAAAAACTACAAACCTCAGCAAACTCAAAACGTGTCTAAATATGATTGTGCTGTGGAAAAGAATAAAGATTCTTACACACAAATGTAGAGGGAGTATTTGTACATGGAGGTGTGTTGCACTCCTATTGGTGAAGAAATTGGCTGCATGATACATTATCATGTAGTAACACAAATTCATATGGACACATGTGAAATTAGGTGGGAGTTTTCACATGGCTGGTGGCATGCAAATCTCTCAGGCAGAATACACATAATGAAGAGGAAATAGCTACCTGTGTATGGAGGTGAATATTTGTTTCAGAATTATGAACTTAAAAACTAATAGTTAAAGGTTTTTTTTATCTTCATCAGTGTGGAAAAAGTGATCAGTAAGTCCTTAATGTATATCTTTTTAAAGAAGAATACAGTTAGTAGTTCCTAAGATCTTTAATCTCCGAAAGATAATCTTACTTATAATATGGATTTTACTTATTAAGTTATGGTTACAAGATATTAGAAGGACTAACAATTTTTGTGCAAATATACATTATCCAAACATTTATGAACTTTAAATTTTTGGGGTAAAAATGGGATATGTATTTTTACTAAAACTTTTTAGGATACTTAAAAAAAAGAAATCAGTGATATGTATTACAGTAACAAAGAAAGGAATACAAGAAAGAAAGTTTTTACTTAATTCCATATACATGCTGTTAGTGGCAAAACCCTTTAATTATTAAATGCTTCTAAATTATCCAGAAAAAAAAAATTGAAATTATTTCTTAAGATACTAAGAACTGTATTTTCTATGAGCAAACACACGATAAAAAATATTTTGCTGAAGTATTTATGCTGTCTTACACAAAATGTACTTCTCTCCAAATTCCCAAAAAGCATATGTTCAACAATAATTCTTTAAATAAAAAAACTTACAATCACAGCTACCGATCATGAAGTATAAGTTTCAATTTCTTCAAAAACTTTAAAGTTGATTGCTCCAACTTTGAAGATCACTTAAAGAGTGTGAATGATAGAATTTCAGTCATTTATAACTTGGTTCACATTTGTAATTTTCCAAAAAATTAACGTACCCAATAAACATGTTGTTTGAAATATTATCTAAGTGACCCCTGTACTTCAGCCATGGGCCTGCAGCACTGATATGATCAGTAGTACACTTGCCTTTAACCTTTAAATATACAAGAAAAATCAAAATAAAACTGTCAATGGAAGAACACAAGCTAACCAAAAATATATTTTTGGATTTTTCAAAATTGGTAAAGTTTAAAAGTTTAAGAAGAAGACAAAATGAAAGGGAAAGAAAAAAAGCTCTCTGCTTTGAAGAGGCTTGATCTTTTTATTTTATTTTTTTGTTATGGGAACTTCCCCCCCCCAAAAACACCCTTTTATATACCCTAAACAACCCATATTGGATTTTTAAGCTGTTTCCAAATATTTAAAAAAATATTTTTTTACATAGGTTAGTAACTCAAAAGAACATTATCAAAGATAAAAAAATTAACTTGCATGAAAGTCTTAGAATTTTCACAAGGACTGTTATTACACACACAAAAGTTAACATATTCCTTACTTGAAAATGTATTTCTGATATATACTCACAGAAAGCTATCTTCCCCTTATTTGTATGCCACTAGCCCTTAGGCAACTCCCACATAAAGTTACGAGATTTCTCATGATTTACACTATTACATAAAAATTTTATTATGCAGTAAAAGCCCTCTAACAATAGGAAGGCAACAGAACCTCCTTGTGCACTAGCTCCCTCTATGCTAAGTTGCACCAGAAGTGGGGAGGAAGAGGACTTTATCCAAACAATGTCAAAATGTAGGTTTGGTACATGTCAGTACACGCGACTATCCAATCAATGTCAAAATATAGTTTTGGTACATATCAGTACACCGTGACTTTATCCAAACAGTGGTCAAAATGTAGTTTTGGTACATGTCAGTACACCGTGACTTTATCCAAA